TGAAATTTTTCAAAACAAAGTTTTTAAATTAAAAAACATTCAAAGGACATAAGAGCAATAATGAATGTAGGAGAGAGATTTCTGCACATGGATGAAACCATTAAGTATAGTAAAGATATCAATCCTACCCAGATTTACAAATTAAATAAAACTGCAGTACTAAATATGATTGCAAATTCTATGACACTACTCTTCACATTAAAACCAGAAGCCTAATTTCCTTCCCAGTGAATGGGGGTTAGCCTTACTCACTCATTTCTAACCAAGAAAATGTGGCAGAAGTCTAACTTCCAAAGTTAGGTCATAAAAAGGGTAAGGCTTCCACCAGGCTCTTTCTCAAGATGTTCACTTTTATAACCCAGCACCATGTTGGGGAAAAAAGCCACATACAAAGACCATAGGTATATGTTCTTGCCTATAGCCCAGGTATGATCACAGCCAACAACCAGTATCAACTGATACACTTATGAATGAGCAAACCAACAGATTATTCTAGCCTCCTAATTACATGGTGCCCAACTGATGCACAATGAACAGAGACTAGCTGTACCCATCAACTCCTGGCCAAACTGCATTTCTGTGAACAAATTAATGTTGCTGTTGCCTTAAATCACTAAATTTGTGGATGATCTGTTATGTGACAATATATAAACAAAACAGAAACCACAATCAAAAGTCCAACTTCATCTTTTAAGAAATCATTCATTCTAAAATGTATAGTGAAAATAAAGATTCAAAAAGAACTGCTAGAAAAGATGGGCCAAGAGGGAAAATTTGTCCTAGTAGATGTAAAAACATACTACAAAACTATAATACTACTGTTTTTTAAAAATCTGATACTGTTGTTGTCTAAAACTGGACCAAAAAAAAAAAATAGAACATAGAGTGAAAGACCCATGAAATTTGGGAACAAAATATATGACTTTCTAGCGTCTAATTGTCTGGATTCAAATCCTGGCTATGACACAATGCAAATTACTTAACCTCTCTGACTCCTGTTTGGTCCTGCACAAAATAGGGCAACAATAATTCCTAACTCACAGGGTTGTTATGATGACTAAATAAGTCCATAAAAGTGCTAAAAACCCATCACATACTAAGTGTATGTAAGCCAGTTGTGGTAATTTAAAAAATAATAACAACAAAACACAAAACACATTAAAAAGCAGGCACCATATATAGAAGCCTATATTCACAGAATCTCAGTTTATATAATAAAATTATAAACTGCAGGTGAAAGTGATTAGAATGTTAACAACAGTAGTCATCTCTGGCGAATTTATGAATGATTTTTAACATCTTCTTTATATTTGTATTTCCTGAATTCTTTAGTTTATATAAATTAATGTTATGTAGAAAATTATTAATAATAGGTATTCTTAATAATGTCTTTTTAATGTAATTTTTATAAAAACCTGAGTTTCTGAATCAGAATGACCTACATTAGAATCCCATTCTGCTACTTAGCATCGATGAGCCTGAGTAAGTTATTTAACAACTCTAAACTTCAGTTTGCTCATTTGTAAAATGGAGCTAACAACCATCAAGGAACTGCAAATTAAAACTACAATGAGCTACCACTATACACTCACTAAAATGGCTAAATTAAACCTACAAATAATATCAAACAGAACTATCATACATTTTTGGAAGGAGTATAAATTATAACCACTCTGGAAAACTGGCAGTATCTACTTAAGTCAAACAAATACATACACTGTAACTAAGCATTTCTATTCAAGAGCATATACCCAAAAGAAATAAGTACATATGTCCGTCGAAAGAGATATATGTAAAAAATATATAAGAACATTCACAGCAGCATTATTCATAGCAACCAAAAAGTGTAAACAACTAGACTGCTCTTTAACAAGTAGGATGGAAAAACAAAGTGTGGCATATTCCCAATGGAATACTACACAATAACAAAAGGGGAAAAATTACTGATATAAGTAACAATATGGATACATCTCAAAAGAAGAGTTGAGAGAAAGAAACCAGATACAAAAAGACCATATGATTCCATTTACATGAAATTCAAAAACAAGCAAAATTGATATATGGTGACTGAGAAAAGTTATTAACAAAGGAGCCTACTGGGGTGCTAGAAATATTTTTATATCTTGATCTGGGTGGTTACATGGGGAGCCACATTTAAAAATTCACAGAACTAATCAATTAGGTGTTATGCACTTTTCTCTAAGTTGTATCTCAAAAAAAACAAAAACCCTGAGGCTAATAATAGTATCTATCTTACAGTGTTGTGAGGATATATATGACAAAAATAATTAACATTTAATGAGAGCACATGCTATATACTGAGCAACATTCTAAGCACTTTCCACATCTTAACCCACTTAATAATCAAAATAACCATTTAATGTAAGTACTAGTATTATCCCCATTTTACAGATGAGAGAACTGTGACAGATAAAAGTTAGATCACTTATCCAAAGTCGCATAACTGGTAAATGGAGGAGTCAGAATCGAATTCTTACAGTCAAGCTTCAGATTCAAAATTTTCAATCACAACAATAAACTGCCTCAGTTATAAATGAAAACTCTTAACAGTACTGGGTCCCAACAAAACACTCACAAAGTGTTAACTATTATTACTATTACCAATAATATTGGGATTAACTTAAAATATTCCTTATTCTAACATTCAAATACTCAACACTGATTGGCAAATAAATCTATATAATTGTAACTATGCTCCTAATTTGTCTTAGAAATACTGTAAGGGTGAAATCATAAATAATTTGAAATATATGAAGTATGTTACTCTACTCTATCCACAAATCACTTACAATGGCCAAAAGGTTATATCCATTTATCTTTCCACAGCTAAGATTCATAATCTTAATTCATATTTTTTAAAAAATGCACATGCATATGCTAAATAACACCCTGAAAGAGTTAAAGTTCCAAAACTATAAGAGAAAACTTTCAAAAAAGAGTATTATTCTAAGCTTAACCACAGAGAGGGAAAGCCTCAAATGTTCATACTAACTAGTGGAGATTTTAAGCTGAACATTTCTTTTCAAGTTATTTGTAAAAACTAACTGGTGAAACGCCTGAGTAGAAATCAATTATTGAAAGTGCATAGTGAGCATATCTTCCCATTTCTTCTATTTCCATTTTTATGCCCCAAATGTTTTTTATATATTATATATATGTACTTTTTTAAAATTTATAAATAGATGTGCCTAGCATTTTTCCATTCCCAGAAGGGACCATGTTTTCTTGGATAATAATCTTCCAAAGATAGTCTAAACATACATAAGCATTCATGTTTGTATGTACATGTGAATCCACACTTAAAAATCACACAATACACAGAAAATACACTATATACACTGTTCTACACCTTCCAAAAACTTTTTCCTCAAAAAAAAAAGAAGAAAAAAAAGCGCATCTACCCATTCTTTTAGTCAAGACTAATGTTAAAATCACTTTTGCTGATTACAACAGTAACAAATAGAAAATACCAACAAATGCATGCAAAAGCAATTTCGGTCAGAACTCCAACTATTCAAAGATAACCGTCAAGTGTTATTTCCTTCTTTCTTTGTATAATACAGATAAGGATACAGGATATGGATCATATGGCATACAAATCAGAAAGTATTCTAGCACTTCTTAACAACATAGACCACTATGTTTAAGTAGACAACCTCAGAAATCTAGTTCAATCTGTTCCTATATGGTTGTCCTTCCTACCCTGGAGACCTAAAATGACCCAACTCTCAAAGGAGATAGGTAAATCCCTGGAAAAAAACTTAATAATCACATAAAGTATGCATGTCTTTCATACTAAACCTGTTAGTCTAGCTTGGAATACCTTACAGATGACAAAAAGCAAATAATTACTTAATAATTAGTTTACACTCTGTTATGGACTCCACTTCCATACCCCTACAGACATCTTACCATCACAATCAAAGCACATTTTCCAGTAATATATCTATCAATCGCTATTTAAGCTTAATATTATATAAACCCGCAATAAACTAATGAGAAAGCAAAGTGGCTAGGGAAGAAACCCAAATTCAACAGTCACAAAAAATGGTTAACCTTAGGGCAAAATTAAGTTACCAAATTCCTTGCGACTGCCTTCCCGTCCCTATCCTTGGGGATCAACAACCTCAACAGAGAGTAAGGATGTTCACAACATTAGAAAAAAACATCATGCCGATGCTGTTGCCGACAACTGTCTCAGACTTAATTCCGCCAAAAGAAAATCTGGAAATAATTTTAAAGGAAAAATTCTCCTCTACTGTCTATTTCAATGCTACCATTTATAGAAACAACGAAATGAAGGAAATCTACAAGTTTAGCTCAGGGGCAGAACCTTCCGATTTCAAAATGTCAACTGAATTTACCAATTTTAACTTTCAGTCTTCCCTTTAAGATTATAGCGATGTTCAGACGGGCACTAATTTGCTTTCTGACTTCTGTTCAACAAATCTTTCTGGTCATCCGTTTAACCATAAACACTGCAGGACAGCTGCAGCTGTAAGGCTGTGTGTGTTGTATGTGCCCGTGTGTATGTGCGGTGTGAGCCAGGAGAGTCTGCCTAAAACCGCGGCTGCGAAAGGACTTTGAACGCTCCTACCCCGTCAGCTGACTAGACCGCCCTGATCCGTCTCAAATTGGTCCGGACATAGAGATTTCACGTCTTTGAAGAACAATGATGATGGAGGGCCAGGTTTTAAGAAGTGGATGAAAAGGTAAGAATCGCTGCCGGCTGGCTTAGGGAGACGAGGCCTGAAGAAAGGCGGCACTTGAATCCGACCCCCGCCCCAGCCGCACTTCCGGACTCCGACGCTCGGTCGAGCTCCCCGAGGCCGCTCTCCGCAGAAGCCTCGTAGGCGGCCCCAAGTCCCCCAGCTTCGCAGCCCGGGCGGCATCCACAAAGGGAAGCAACACGGGTTTTGCGACCGGGGTTTCGGAAAGAGGCCGCCCGCCGCCGGGCTGACTCAGCGCTGCGGCGTTACCTGTTGAGGAGCAAGGAGGCGGCGCTAAGGCAGAGCAGCAGGAAGCAGAACAGTGGGTACTGGCGGCAGATCTCGCGTCCCACGTCTAGCCTCAGCCTCTGCTTCAGCTTCTCCCCCATCGTCCGCACCCAGGGCGCCATCTCTGCTGGCGTGTCCGAAGCTGTGCTACCGACTGAGGCTGAGATCGAGGCGACCCCCATTAACTTCCCGCGTCTCCGCGCCGCCGGCCTGCCGGCCCGCCGGCCGACTCACACAGCCGCCCACCGGCGGACTGTTCGCTGGGTGCAGACGTTTTTTAGGCCCCCGCCGCGCGTGCGCGGCCGTGGGCCAGGGGCTGGTCGCACGACGTCCCCGAGGTCATCACCCCGCGCAACACCCCTGGCGTTCAGCCGCTCCTCCCTCCCAGCTGGAGCGGCGCGCCGGGCTTCGGTGCTGGATCCAGCTCCACCCGCGACCCACCTTTTTCGGAAATCCGGGGAAAGCTGCAGCACTCAGTAACAGCCTGTATTACAGAGGAGAGAGAGAGAGAGAGAGGTCTGTGCCGAGCACAAGAGAAACTACAGCCCCGCAGTTGCCGGGCTCTTCCTGCGGGATACCCCGAGCTCTCGGGGCCGCAAGGACTGTAGTCTTTGTGCCTCGAGCCGGCGGAGGGATGGAGAGCGTGCTTCCTTCCCCCGCCACTCTCTAGGCCTACTCTTCACTATAGGCTCAGCGCGGGGCTGAAGACAGGTCCAAGCTTTGCGTGACGCCCAAGGGGGTAAGGGAGGGACGTCTCTGAGTCTTAGTTTTGCGCGGGCCGCGTGTAATACAACCCTGGATTACGAAAGAGTCAAACCCACCGGGCCGCAACTCCTGCTAGAGAGCATCTTTTGCGTGCTCTTGTTGAGGTAGATCTCAGTTCTTGACAGCCCCGCGGGCCTAACCGAAATCCAAGTGTTTGGATGACGCGGATTGACAGGTTAGATTAAATCCCTCTGTAGAGTCTCGTGGGGCTTTCACTTTACTGACTAATCACATCCCTAAATTTTAATTTCTGTATTTTCCGCTACTCCGAGAGATGCAGAAGGACAGTATCGTAATAAGTAAAATTTGGGCGGCGCGCTAAGCACTTTCAGTTAAACTTCATACATTCACCTCATCGTGTAGGTACTCTGGTTTCTCCCATTTTACAGCTTGATTACTGAGGCAGAGTAACTTGCTCAGAATCATACATCTAGTGAAACCGAGATTTGAAGCCGTTGTAACCCCAAACCTGGTGCACTCTTGCTACCTGTCATTTCTCCTCCATCTTACCCTCTGAAGTGCGGAGACATGTTCCTCGGAAATGATTTTTTTTTAAATGGTGTATGTGTAGTTTCATTAATATCTCCTATGTTATTCCGAATACATAGATCATCTTTAATGAGGCATTATTTTCCGTCAGAATGTACCTTTAAGTATTCTATTAATGCAATTAATTTCGTTAATTATTACCACCCTTGATCACAAATACATATTTCTAAGAATTTCTTTAGGATCAACATCAATACAATTAAGAACATGGTACATACTGTCAAATTTCTTCCTAGAATGGTTCACCAATGCCACAGTGGTGTATAAAAGTATCCATTTCACTGATCCTCGTCATTAGATATTGTTTAAATTAACATCACAAATATACTCATGCTGTACCACTTCTGATTAAACCATTTAAAAGACTACTACTGTGTAACATCATTGGGAAGCTTAGTGTTTTTTAATGTTTTGAGGTACATATTTAATTAAACATTTGCAACCTTTTGCAGCTTTTTTTTTAGTCCGAATTATCTATAATCCCTTATTTATATGAAGTACAGGGCTATACTGAAGAACAAATAAAAGATGTGTGTTGAATTAATCTACATGTATCACGTGCCTACTGCAGACTTCACTACTTTATAATTGGGTAAGTTAATATATTAAACTTGTCCATGAAGAACATTGCCAATCTTTTTTCTGTTCATTTTCTGTTCATTTGCTTCCTTAAAGGCCTATTCTAAAAAACTATTCAACTTTTCACCGAGAACCAGAACATTTTAAAGATCAATTGTTTTCTGTTCTCTTCAAATTACATCTTTACAACATCCAACTACGACCTCTTTCCCATGATTTTCCAGACAATAGGCAATTTAAATTTTCATATCACTCTTACGCTCAGAAAAGGAGAAAAAATAAATTTTTCCCTTAAGTACTCTTTAAAAATCCACACCTAAAAAAAAAGTTTCCTGTTAATAGACATTTTTATTTCCTTAAATGTTTTCTCTTATGATTCTAGTATCCACTTTAACACAGATCCTGAAAAATTTTTTCCAATCTTTTATTAAAAGTTTTGAACTTCTAGTGGGGATATGGGATAATCACAATCAATCCTGGTTCTGAAACCAGCTCCACTTTCTACTAGCAATATTTCATTAAGCAAGGGTTACTTGATCTACCTCAACCCCTGCATCCTCAACTCTAAAAGAGAAATATCTTCTTCGTAAGTTTCAGAAGTTATACTGGATGGAAAGTGCCTATTGTACAATGCTCAATACAAAAAGGTTTCTTATTTTATGGACCTATGAACATGACAAAACAAGCCAAACCAATTAACCGTATTTGGATTATAACCTAAAATGACAATGACATGAAATCAAAGTTAGGAAACTAAGGTCTTAAAAGCTTTATTGCCTGCTCTGAAGTTCTAGACCTGCACTGTCCAATATAGTAGCCACTAGCCATTATCTGGCTATTGAAATGTGACTAGTTTAAATAAACATGTGCTGTAAGTGTAAAATACATACCAGATTTTGAAGACTTAGTATGAAAACAAGAATATAAACTCAATTTTCAAAACTTGATTACATGTGAAATATTTTGGAAATAACGAACTAAAAAAATATTAACTTTATGTTTCTTCTGTAATGTGACTACGAGATAAATTTTAATTACATATGTGGCTTCCACTATATTTCTACTAGACAGTGTTGGTTTAGACTGTTTGCTGTGGAGAGCCAGTAAAATTAAATAAATTTTTCACAAATGCCACAATTGTGTTAGTGGTACATTTTCAAACTATAAAAAGTAAAAGAATTTTGATAATGCATTCATCTAAAAGACTCACAAACTACAATCCAGTAATATCTCCATTATTTTAATGACTATTTATTGATTTAGCAAATAAGTGTAAGGCACTGTACTACATGTGGTGGCAGATACAGTGATTTAGATGCATTATTATGACCTCCAAAGGCTTACAACGTAGTGCAGGAGACATGTCACACATAAATAATGTATAACAGGGCATATTTATAAAAACTATAACAGAATTTTTTTAAATGACAGGTGATGGCAAAAGGAAATTTTCAACTGATGAAAATCTGGAAAGACCTTTGGGAAGACAATATTTTAAGCAAAGACTAGTATTTATCTGTTTTCACTTAATTTTCAGAAGTTATACAGCACTAGGCATTGTTAAGTTTAAAATGCATTTACCTAATTAAACCTGACTGCCTCCCCCCACCAGCAAATTGCACAAATTGCTTTTTATAGTGGTAGATGAATATGAAAGGATGGTTGAATACCTGAGTACCAGTAATTAGGCCTACTTAATTCTGATGATCCTGATATACACTCATTTTAACTGTTGAGGGCCATTACTTGTAAGGCATGGGAGTGTCAGGAAGAAGATAAGTGAATACACACTACCCCTAGGAGCCATTTTTGCCCCTCCGCCATATAGATGCCTTCTATAATTTTAGAGCATGCTCTCCTATCACAAGATTGGCATTTCTTGTTTTTCTCCCCTACGTCTCAAAACATCAAGGTTCATTTTTATCTTTTGTGACATTCATTTATTTTTAGTCTTAATTTTGTTTCATAGCACCCTCTTCCCACAACCTATCACTATGTATCCACCTCTGGAAAATAGCACCTGTTAAAGGAACCACTGAACTGCTTTCTTTAAGAAATGTTCCTTTCCTTGATTTTCAAGGAAGGAATTCATTACAATGGAAAATATGTAATTCAAGGAAGAGCCTTAAAGGGTTTTTATGAATAGGAGTTTGAGATGTTCAAAATGCAGTTATTGCTTTCATATTTAATTCCCCTTTTTATGGCAATAAAGTAAAACCTCAAATGGGAAGATATGAAGAACTACAATTTTATACAACCAGTGACTCAAATAGATACTCTCTAAATAAAAGCTGTTTTGACCACAAAATTCTGGCTGGTCTCAGCATCAAAAACAAGCATTTATTGTTTGTCATCTCATTTCAAAGATATGATGGAATAACCATCCTCTCAAACCTCACTTTGATAGAATAGTTAGTTGGTCATAACTTCAGAAAATGTAAATTATTTAGTAACTGAGTAGAAACTGAAAATATAGTCTCCTGCCCGTTGATAAATATTAAAGATTGGAAAAGGCACTTGTAATCTAACATCACCATTATCTTGTAAAAGATGGCCAATGTTTTATCTACTTTTAAAAGTTACCTTTTAAATAAAGCGTTCTTCCTTATTTCTTTCAACTGCCTCAGTTATAAATGAAAACTCTTAACAGTACTGGGTCCCAACAAAACACTCACAAAGTGTTAACTATTATTACTATTACCAATAATATTGGGATTAACTTAAAATATTCCTTATTCTAACATTCAAATACTCAACACTGATTGGCAAATAAATCTATATAATTGTAACTATGCTCCTAATTTGTCTTAGAAATACTGTAAGGGTGAAATCATAAATAATTTGAAATATATGAAGTATGTTACTCTACTCTATCCACAAATCACTTACAATGGCCAAAAGGTTATATCCATTTATCTTTCCACAGCTAAGATTCATAATCTTAATTCATATTTTTTAAAAAATGCACATGCATATGCTAAATAACACCTTGAAAGAGTTAAAGTTTCAAAACTATAAGAGAAAACTTTCAAAAAAGAGGTGGAGCTGAGGCAGTGATGCTAGTGCTGCAGAGTGGCTACAAATACAGATGAAGCTTTGCTTGCCTGCTCACCTCCTGCTGTACAGCCCAGTTCCTAACAGGCCACGGACTAGTACCGGTCCACACCCGGGGGTTGGGGACTCCTCAAGTGTAAAAACAAAAGCACTTTGACATGGTACATATAAACTACCATGCAACTAGGCTTGGTTCAGAATTGTAAAAATCACTAATATTGGTACTTCAATTCCAATTCTAGTAAGGTTGCTACCAAATAACTAACCTCAATTTTTATGTTCACTGAAGAGAAACTTTTCCTATTTTGGTAAGCTGATTC